ATCCATGGGTTAAGAATATAACACGCATGTATGTATATTTTTTGAGAAACAGAACTAAACACAAACTTAACATTGATGAAGATGCTGTCGAAGTGACTGGACCGTGAAATATAGGCCACATTCAGCATATAATGCATGATTTGAAATGCACTATGTCCCAAATAAAAACAGTCCAAGTTTAGTTAGTCTAACCCTTTGTTTAAAAATGTTAAAAATAAAGCATAAAACACACAGCTAAACGCAATAACTTAACATTGATGAAGACGCTGTCAAAGTCACTGGACCTCGAAATGTAAGGCACATTCAGCAACTGACGCCGTTGGGAAAAGTACCACCTAAGTCCCGCCTCCGCGACATCCGTCGCAGGCGAGATAATAATGTCTTCCCAAATTCCTTAAAAAAATACTTGTTAGTTCTCACGGCTATTTTGAAGTGGCTGTCATCGTGGCTTTTCGGCCATGTTGAATTTGTTCTTGGTATTTTTATTTTTAATAAGCATCTTTCAATATTTATAGGAATCATATGCCAAACTGTGTTGTAACATACAATGAAGCAAAGCTTACATATAAAAATGAAAAATATGCAATAATTTTCGCGGCCATTTGGATTTTTGCGATAGAACTACTTAGATCTCATGAAAGTTTTATAAAACATACTCTTGCTTTTATCGCAAACGGTATTGTTATTTTTAACTTCTACAGGGGAAAAAGAGACACTCATACGTTTGAAAAACGCATATTTCATATTTTTCAAATTTTGTACCGGAAGTACACGCAGCTGATGAGGTTGAGAAGGACAATCATTTGTTGGTAATTTTAAATGATTCAATACAGATTTGACATACTTCCTTTATTTTTCTTTCCAAAACACTATAAGAGAATATTTTTCCAACTTAAACAGAATGTAATTTTAACATTTAAAAACTGTCACCTTTCCCTGCTCCAAAACACTTTTTGTGTGCCCTAGCGGATTAATATATTAACCACAGGTACTTGAATTGCCTCGTCTGTCAATACACCTATAAGATCAAATCATAGGTGTATTGACAGACGAGGCTAGTACCTGTGATTTAACAGCGAAAGAGATAATTGCAGCGTGATTACATTTAAAAGTGACCCTCATCTGTTAGTGTGGAGGGAAAACCCTTGAAAATCAAACAAACGACAATTCGCTATTACAGCGTCAAAATGCCATATGGATAGCCCATCCAGAGGATTGCTATATATTGGAATTGACAGCTTAGCGAGGCAGAACGTGCAATGATGTTTTAATCGTTTACCAGCCGTGTTTACATCACAGAAATGCTGTAGTTTATAAACTTAACAAAAACTTTCAATTCATCTACTTTTATCATTGCCGGGAGTAGGCCAATACGCTTTTGAGTCATGTATTAGTTTAGATTGCAATGTTGCCGGTGTTTTTACTGCAAAACTAATACTATCAGAGAACAGCTCTCTCGGGAATGGGTCATAATAGAATAATATATCTATGCGTACAGATTGGAAGTATGACGTAACATATCATGTTTTGGACAAAGTGGTAATTGGGACAACATACAGGTGATATAGTCCTAAGTGATTTACATACAAACGTAATCACCGGAGTAGGTATTTAGCGCCCGGGGCGGACTTCACAGTTACTGTATAATGAGCCCCTCTCCTGATGTATCGTATACACGACGTGGTCTATTTCCTTCTCATCCTTCTTATTTTTTTGTTCTATACAACATAACGTTCGCATTAATTAATGCTCATGTGATGGATACCTTTACATGAAAACTTAAATGTCGACATACCATATATAGTGAGTGTTTGGACTGGAGGCGACATTGCCTTTTAGCGTAAATGTATATTTCTGTGTGTTCGTCCTTTGACGGTAAAGAAGGAACAAAGCGATATCTAAGAGTTCCACACTGTTTTCCATGTCATCAAGATTGACTTACCGAATTGACAGGGACACTAGAACTCAGTTGCATTATGTAAAGTTGGACCTATCCTGCTGTGTAGGGAGTATTATTGGTAAAACGCCGTCAATGAGTGTTGATTGCAACTATTAAGCCTAAAATTTATTTATATATTGAAGATCTGAGAAGCATGTTTAATCAAATATCAAAAATGAAGAATTTAAAATTAAGGAGAACAAGCAGTAATTCCAAATCAAAGTTGATTAAACAATGGCAAAATATGAACAAATGTAATATATACATTGACAATCGAAACGGGCGTACTGGAAGGGTAAGCGTCATCTGCATAATCGTATGACGACAAAACAAAAGGCACATAATAACCAAAGCCAAAAACACCGACCTACATGTCACAGATTTTTTTTTTTATTTCTAAATGTGATCCATGATGGCGCCCATAAAACTTGTGGCTTTAATCGCTTTTGTCCTAACAACCTAGCTTGGCAAGTCGGTACGCCAGCGCCGGACATCTATCACAGAAACCATATTTGGAGAAAACTCTTAAAATACCCAATCAACGGCGACATGTGAACATCGTAATTTTGGGGGCCCCGAGATGTAACTACCAAGAAAATCTCGAAAATTGAATTTGTCGCATTTATTGTGCAGCTTAGAAGTCTTACCTTCGGCCATGTTGTAAGTAAAGATCGGGATAAGCGGCCGATGTAGACGAGTCTGCGGTGTCCTTGATTTTAAGATCAAGAGGGAATACAAAATCGACGTGGTTAATAGGTTACCTGTTATGTAATTAAGTTCAAGTTCAAGTTCTTTATTCACCAAAAGTCTTAAGACTTATAGGTACAAAGCAATCATGATACATTGTACATGTATATATGTTATAGGAGAGTGACTATAAGCATACAAGTGCAAACTAAACAAAGAACATAATACAAAAGCATAAAAAATATAAATACGTGTAGCTAATTAATCAATTTCGCCGCTTAGTGGCTAGATATAAATATTTACCTAGATTTGACAACTCTTTGACATTATTTACAGATAAAAGTTGGACAAGTTTGTAAACAGAGGGACTCTTATAATAATACTTCTTTATATACTTTAACCTCAAATCATTATAAAAAGGACATACAAAAATGAAATGAAATTCGTCCTCGACGTCTCCCAAATCACATTTGCTACAGTTTCTATTTCTGCGAATGATATTATTGTGTCTACCCTTTTCGATATTCAGTTGATGAGACGACCTTCTAAATTTAGTTAACATATATTTGTATTTTGTTTCAATATGTTTACGGAGATAAAACTGAATACTATGACTGTCTATAAGATATTGATATAGTCTACCTTTTGATGAAGCTGCTATCTTTGCCAACATATTTTGCTTAGTAACATCTTTCAATCTGTGTTCAATAATTTCAAAAGTGTTTACCAATGGTAGATTCGATTCAAAAATATAACCAAGACCTAGGGCAGTTAATTCATTCTTAATGTTACAAATCCACGGATCATTCACGTTGACACATTCATCATAACAAGTTTTTAATATCAAATTATCAGATTTCGTCAACTTCAACCAATATTTGAATACTTTTAGCTTTCTTGTAACAATTAATGGTAGTCTACCCAATTCACAATAAACTAAATCATTGAATGTAGATTTACATACTCTAAGGACTTTTTTGCAGAAATTCAAATGAACTCTCTCTATATCAGGAGCTTTGTGAAACCCCCATATTTCTGCACCATAGCTTAAGATGCTGCTGACATAAATATCAAAGACAGAGCATTGGGTTTCCAAATTCAAACAATGGTTCTTTAAAGAGGATGATAATGAAAATAAAGCCTTTCTTCCTTGGTCCGCTAAATGCTTTTGGGTTTTATAAAATTTACCATTATAATTAAAAAACATTCCCAAATATTTGAAACAGTCAACAATTTCTATGTTCTCATTATTATATTTCCACACTTCATTATTTCTTATGTTTCCCCCGTTTCTAAAAACCATGACTTTTGTTTTATCAATGTTGACTTCCAGATCCCATTTTCTAGAGTAACTGTGTAAAGAATCTAACATGTTTTGCAATGCAGCTGGACTATCAGCGAAAAAAACCATATCATCAGCATACATTAGCAGGAAAAGGTTAAGCATCTGTAAATCAATACTTGGACAATTATCATTAATAAAATTAATTTCAAAATCATTCACATACAAAGAAAACAACACAGGTGACAATATTTCCCCTTGTAAGAGACCGGTATAATTAGGGAAACAATGACTTAATTGACCCTCAAATTTTACACAGGATTTGACATTATCATACAAAGATAATATGTAATGTAATGACAACACATCGCCGGATTACCTGAATTAGAGAGAGCATAATACCTAAGACATCATTGCCATTCAGGAGTCCTGCCTAAAATATATCATCTTGTCAGTATTTAAATCACTATATGCATTGAAGATGGTTCCCAGTAATGATCGGCTATTTTCACTATTGGAAAACTAAGTGTTTGGCCACTATTTCCAGTCGAGGTCATCATTTGTAGCTCGCCTGGAACACCCTTGATCATGGTATTTTGGCAGTAGGTACCTGGGATGGAGTGCTATAACTTTTCCTCGTAGTAACGACCTTGACCTTTCAGTATGATATATGTAGAATATGTTTGAACTTCAAACAATGTTAAACATCTATCAGGTCTTGCGCAATGTTATTTGGTAACATTATGGTGACAATCTGCACATTTTTCTAATATCGTTAAAAATCAACTCAGGTTGCCTGGCGGTAGTCAATTATCAACATCGGTAACAGAAAAAAATCTTCTTAGTTCAAGACCGAAAGGTCTTGGCTAGTATGTATATTCGAAGGAGTGCTATAAAATGTCCTCATATAAACGACATGAAACCTCATTCAAGGTCACATGGATAAAAGTCAACTCTGAGGGCTAGCGGGAATCAAACATATAATAGGACTAAACTTGTAAAAGTTTAAATTCCATAAGGCCGAATGTCAATTTGTACCTGGGATGGATAACATAAGAGAGAAAAAAAGATATAAACCAGATAAGAAAGGAAATGTTTCAAATAATTTTATTTCATGATTTTATTTGTGGTCAAAATTGCACCTCATGATCAGTAGCTATCTTAAAGGGAACAGCTGATCGGTCTACTGTGTCTAGTAGTATTTCTGAACATTATTATTTTTTCATAGGACATTATCACAAATACTACCTTTATAAAAGAAACTGTCTTGAATACATTTCTAACTGAAGTCACAAACCATACCATCCAATATACTGTACTATACGTTGCTATGTAATTTAATCCTGCTGATCATTGCAATGCAATAATTTCATTAGCTTAGCAACACTTTATCATTGTTTTAGTTGAATTCTACATGAACATTTAAAAAAACCTTGTTAAGTCCACCACACTTTTCTGTTATATCTAATTATCAGTCATACAGCATGCAAACACTTTTCATAGTTCATCCTGTTTCAACTTTAACAGCTACACTATACAGTTCACATTCACAAAAGATCCTATCAATACACATGGTCATCACACTATGTTACATCAATCATAGCGATTCCTTTGCCCAATTGTTAAAAGAAACCTAAAGGATTTTGTAGATATCTCAGGATCAAAATAAACATTTTAAAAGGGCAATGAAAATATGCCAAAGAATAATACAGTATAATTTTGCACCATTTCTAAAAGTTAACCTATTGAATGCTGATTCACAGGAAGAAATGATCAAAGACAAATACACATTTGTACATTATTTAACATAAGCAGGTCTTAATTATTACACTATCATTTATTCTGTCCATTCTATCAACAATTCACATTCGGGACAATCTGCAGCACTATATCAAATACATGTACCATCTTTGGGGTAAACTTAAAGCAACTGTTTACAAGATTCGTGATTTATTATCACACACATCTCAAAAACAACAGCATACATTTAGTGTCAATGATGATGATGATGATGAGGAGGAGGAGGAGGAGGGGGAGGAGGAAGATAACAGCCTTAAACACTATCTTCATTACCCTCCTGAACTTCAAAGCCTTGGGCCAACATATTTACATAAATGTCAAAGCCTGGATGATGATGATGTTCATATATACAAACAAACCTATAGTACAATCTCATAACACCATCAACCACATATATATACTACACAATATTTCAACATCACCATTTCTCTGATAATTGAGTCCTAAAGGGGTGATGTGGATAAGTTCAATCTGGATGCGGATGACTTTGATGAAGATAACTATGATGATGATGGTGAGGAGGACAATGAACTGTGATGATGATGATGATGATGATGATGATGATAATTTTAAGATGCTGCTGTCATGTCTTTTCGTTGAAGCGAGGAAGTACAGGCAGTATCAGATTCCCAAATGAGGAGTCTTGTGTGATGAAGTACCCCACAGAGTTGGCATTGGCATGCTGAAACAAACAAAAAACAACATACATTAATCGCATAATGTAATTCAACATATTTTGATGAAATTTCTTCATTACTGTGAGTGAGAGAAAATAGAGAGCATGTTATCGTCAAGAACAGTACTGAATGGTGGTAATGTTGCTCTTGTTCATCATTATAACTGATCAAAGTCATTTTTTTTATCAAAATCATTCTCCATATAACAAGAACTCTTATGGATTTCTTATGACTCGGAGATAAAAATGGAAATGTCGCCTTAACCTTGCACTTGTCACTCAATGAAGTTTAACATTGTACTTGTCACTCAATGGAGTTTAACCTTGCACTTGTCACTCAGTGAAGTTTAACCTTGCACTTGTCACTCAGTGAAGGTCAAAAGTTCTGAGTAAGAAGACACACAAGGCTTGTAAAGCCTACATATTTGACGTCCCCCATGCACTTATCAATAAGTACATGTACACTGGTATCAGAGCATACAGATACCATTTATACCAGCCTCGTGATACTTATGTCAGTGTACTTGGATTAAGGATGTCTGTCCTATTGCAGGCAAAACACTAGAGAGTTCCACTGTAGTTTTTCATACATACAGTAACCTCCATGTACTTTCGTTTTACATATAACTATAGTGGGATTAGGGGAGAAATATTGCTGATCAGGTAGCTCAGTTCATCAGCGTGACCGTTTTGTGATTGCAGATCAAGAGTTCAAATTCCAGTATGGCCTCATTGCATATTTATGTCTATAAGACTGGGTGCTTTTTTCAATCTTTATCATACTTCCTGAAAGTTCTGCAAGGTGTGGGTTTATTTTCAGAATGATTTAGTAAACCTATACTATTAACCCATTCATTGTCACAGTTTTTGGCAATGGTAGGGGAATCTTTCAGAGAATGGCATCCCCCCACATGGTCAGAACAGCAAAAGCGATACCTGTGTAAGTGTTCCTGGTGATAAGAGGATGGCACGGCCCATCACTCAGACAAACATATTGGTACCTGCAGGCTATACTTTAAACCAGCGAGTATTAATTTCTACCAAGTCTAACCCAATAAACAAATTCCCGGAGGTTAAATATGAGAATATCACGGCTACAATTTCATTCATGAATGTGTCTAAGTCACATGTATGTCAATCATGAATTAAACTGACAGGACATGATGTCTCCCTGTTCCTCCTGACGATCAAACACGACATTAAAATTACTTCATCTTTCTCACATGTAAACACACCAGGATGGTCATTTAAAGTCCCCAGGGCAACTGTTATTCATGATTCATATGTTGTGGTGTTTAAATTTGGAAACAGGAGATCATCTCTAGCTTAAGTTGATGATTAATTGTACATTGACATAGTCATGCTACACCACACCTTAGCATTACTGTTTCGTGAAAAGTGTATAACAGGAAAGAATTATCTATAAACATGAGGTCCATGGGCTTGAATAGCTCACCTGCTTTTCACTTACCTTACATACCTGGTATATGTATCATATTTCAAATGAACTAATTAAAAAGCATTTTTTTCCACTAACATAGGATAACTCTATAAACTGAATGTTTGAGTTTCTGTTATACTAAGTACTGATAAGTTTTTTTCACAGATTAACTTCTTATTTCCGTTATTAGGCCTTATTGCTATGCTCTAGATGGTCTCCATAATATTCAAACCATTTGGTAAAGGAATAATTTATTCCAAATTAAGCTACTGTTAAACAAACATGGTTTTTTAAAGATATTTACCTTTATTTACCATATTGAGCCATACCCATCCCTTTCATTTAACCAAATGGAACACCTTTGGGCAAAGACTTTTTTTCCAAATCAAGTCCTACCATATTTAAGGTGCAGTCTTTCAATACTTTATCCCTATTTCCTGTTTTTTTACCACAAACTTAATGCCCTTTGGAGGCCAAATGCTTCATCTTTATCAAATCAAATCCACGTGGTCTATGCATGGATACTTCACACCAAATTCAGTCGAAATTCCCTCACACTTACTGGAAATGCCTCTATTCTATCAATAGTAGTGATTTCAATAAGTTAGAATAACAAAAATAAATACATGTACCAGAAAGTTATTGATAAAATGATTTGTTATATGAATTAATTATTTCATTTTTTTTCCGATGCCAAAGTATTAAAGTTACCTTGCATTGGCTTTAAAAGCATATATTTTGTGAAAAAGTCGCTAAAAAGTTTATTTCAAATGTTTTTAAGAAAGACAGTATCTCTGCTAAAAGACTGAAAAAGAGAATTGAAAGTTCACTACAAAGGATGTGATTCTGAGTTATATACAATATCATACAAAAGAGTAAGTAGCACTTTACCGGGGTAAAGAACCATGAACCTTATCTTGATAAACTCGTCATGCATTTCATTTTATTAACAGTGACCTTTACCTTTGATTTATTGGCAACAGAAGGACATCTTGAGCAAAGACTTTATTCATGTATATGGTATTAGTGTACTAGGCCTGATTTATGGTCATTATTATTCTTTCTAAAAATTCTATATTTGTGACTTGGAGGTTGTGGTGATAGGTCCCAATCAAAGCCTTGGAAGATCTGAGCCAATTGGAGGCTGTGGTGATAGGTCCCAATCAAAGCCTTGGGAGATCTGAACCTATTGGAGGCTGTGGTGTAGGTCCCAATCAAAGACTTGGGAGGTCTGAGCCAATTAATTTGAGGCTGTGGTGATAGGTCCCAATCAAAGCCTTGGGAGATCTGAACCTATTGGAGGCTGTGGTGTAGGTCCCAATCAAAGACTTGGGAGATCTGAGCCAATTAATTTGAGGCTGTGGTGATAGGTCCCAATCAAAGACTTGGGAGATCTGGGCCAATTGGAGGCTATGGTGATAGGTCCCAATCAAAGACTTGGGAGATCTGAGCCAATTAATTTGAGGCTGTGGTGATAGGTCCCAATCAAAGACTTGTGAGATCTGAGCCAATTGGAGGCTGTGGTGATAGGACCAAATCAAAGCCTTGGAAGATCTGAGCCAATTGGAGGCTGTGGTGATAGGTCCCAATCAAAGCCTTTGGAGATCTGAACCACTTGGAGGCTGTGGTGATAGGCCCCAATCAAAGCCTTGGGAGATCTGAGCCAATTAATTTGAGGCTATGGTGATAAGTCCCAATCAAAGACTTGGGAGATCTGAGCCAATTGGAGGCTGTGGTGATAGGTCCCAATCAAAGCCTTGGTTGATCTGAGCCAATTGGAGGCTGTGGTGATAGGTCTCAATCAAAGCCTTGGGAGATCTGAGCCATTTAATTTGAGGCTGTGGTGATAGGTCCCAATCAAAGACTTGGGAGATCTAAACCAATTGGAGGCTGTGGTGATAGGTCCCAATCAAAGACTTGGGAGATCTGAACCAATTGGAGGCTGTGGTGATAGGTCCCAATCAAGGCCTTGGAAGATCTGAGCCAATTGGAGGCTGTGGTGATAGGACCCAATCAAAGCCTTGGGAGATCTGAACCAATTGGAGGCTGTGGGGATAGGTCTCAATCAAAGCCTTGGGAAATCTGAGCCAATTAATTTGAGGCTGTGGTGATTGGTCCCAATCAAAGACTTGGGAGAACTGAGCCAATTTGAGGCTGTGGTTATAGGTCCCAATCAAAGACTTGGGAGATTTGAGCCAATTGGAGGCTGTGGTGATGGGTCCCAATCAAAGCCTTGGGAGATCCGAACCAATTGGAGGCTGTGGTGATGGGTCCCAATCAAAGCCTTGGGAGATCTGATCCAATTGGAGGCTGTGGTGATAGGACCCAATCAAAGCCTTGGAAGATCTGAGCCAATTGGAGGCTGTGGTGATAGGTCCCAATCAAAGACTTGTGAGATCTGAGCCAATTTGAGGCTGTGGTGATAGGTCCCAATCAAAGACTTGGGAGATTTGAGCCAATTTGAGGCTGTGGTGATAGGTCCCAATCAAAGCCTTGGAAGATCTGAGCCAATTAATTTGAGGCTGTGGTGATTGGTCCCAATCAAAGACTTGGGAGATCTGAGCCAATTGGAAGCTGTGGCTATATGTCCAAATCATAGACTGTGGAGATCTAGCTAACCCGAGACTTGTTGATCTGTGCCAATCAAAGTCTATGGTGGTCTGGGCCTATCAAAGGTTGTTATGATATTGACCAATCACAAATTGTGTGGATCTGAGCCAAGCATAGGTTAATGTGATATAAGGCAATCAGAAACTGTGAAGATCAGGCCAAAACAGAGGTTTTTGTTATCTGAAGTAATCAAGGACTTGGGAGATCTGAGCCAATCACAGACTGTGATGATATGTACCAATCAAAGTGTTTTGTGATCAGAGCTAATCAAATGCTATGATGATCTGAACCTATCAGAGGCTGTATGATTTAGAGTCAATTTATGGTTAACAAAGTCAGAGGTACAATAAAACAATGAATATATAATAGGATTCCCTTGAGGTATTTCTGACAGTTTTGTTTGTCTACCACTTACCTGTAGTGCTGCCCTCTGTGCTGGAGTCATGTGCTGGGTTTCCATCACCATGCTGATCTGTAATGAGTTGGGGAACACTTACAGATTATATAATGTCACCAACAACATGTTATAGCATAAGATTGTAGGTTCTTCAAATGGAAAACCTTACTATCCATGTGGACACTTACCAACATCCAGGTCAGCAATACATTTCCTCAGAGCCTCTTGTTTCCAATGCATAATAAATTGTTTCAGTGGTCAACATAACATTATATATTTATGAGAGACCAAAGTTAAGCCAATGGTGTAAAAAGCTTGTCAAATTGTTCTTAAGATTTCTAGCTTATGATAATTTTGGTTCTAAAATCTAGTATTTGAAATGAATAAGATATACTGAAATTAGATCACATAGACATTGATGCTATTGTATAAGGAGAAAGAAAATCAATGGCCAGATCGATATACAGCTTTATACCACAACTCATAACAATATCTTTCCTAGAAAATGTTCGCTGCTCACAATGACAAACTTACAAGTTATAATGTTAGTCAATGTCTGCACACCAAATCAACCATGTAGAAAGTTCACGTCACTTCTCCAAAACATTTCTAACCTTTTCAAAACCATGTTCTTCTGGTCACAGAAACAATCATTAATGCAAATCAAGTAATTTGCGGTACAGTATACCTTAATATAACATGTCTGACATTTACAAAGCAACGTTCTCCTGGTTACAGAAACAATCATTAATGCAAATCAAGTAATTTGCTGTTCAGTATACCTTAATATAACATGTCTGACATTTACAAAGCAATGTTCTCCTGGTCACGGACATGAAACTTTTGAAAAATGAACTGGGATATGCTTGACATTTATAGTGAAACACAGTTTATCGATGTTGAACATGCCCAGATCATGAGTACTTACATTTGATAAATGTGATGCTTGCTGTGTTACCGTGCTTGTTGTACTGTAATGATAAAATGTATATCAAAGCTTGACAAAGCTACATAAGGCATGTACATAATATCTTAGATGATCTCAAATGTTATCCTGTACCTTATGTTTGATACTAACCCTTACCTTTTAAATCTACTTATTATGTTTTAACCATCACATGACACTTATATTTTCTGCTCGATGCGCATGCATTTTCCTGTGATTTTAATATATCTATTTCATAACTGTAACGGAATTAATTTTATTAAAGTTCTCTTTGGTATCTTACTTATAACAATTAGGATGGTCTGCACACTTACATTTCAAAAACAAGTCCCAAACTAGATTTGTTGAAGTGAACAAAATATATAATCCCCTTAAATAGCAAATATGTATTTCTTGGCACTTAATTCACCTTTGACCTGGAAGTGAAGGTTGCAGAGTGCTAACAACAGTACAGGGCACTGCACACCTGTGGGTGATGCAGGTATGTTCTAAGTTTCATCAATATGCATTTAAAAAATTCAAAATTCTGCAATTAGTTCACCTTTGCCCTAAGGTGAAGGTCACAGTGACTGAATTAAAAGTTCACTGCACATTATCTGAGGATAATGCAGGTGCGCTTAAAATTTCATCATGGTACCCTTTGGTGGTTCAAAAGTTACTGCCTGGTCAAGATTTTGTAAGTTTTCGAAACTTTGTGCTTTTTTTTTTACCTTTGAACGCGAGTTGAAGATCACAGTGGCCTTCTGGTAAATACAGAGCACTGCACACCTCTGGTGGGTGATTTCAGGTACATGATTTAACGTTTGATCATGATATCTGTTACGGTTTAAAAATTACAGCCTTTACAAGGTTTCTATAAAAAAGATGAACCAGTAATAATCTGTGTCCCAGTATTTCAAAGGAAAACATAATAACTTATCACTGCATTAATTATAACTGCGGTACAAATATGTATAACGAGAGATAGCACTCAAATGTAGCAAAAATGTGATAGGAAACACTGCACAATACAGTTTTATATATTTCAAAGTGAAGTTTGATGACTATTGGACTCCAAGTTAAACCCACTGTCTAACCAAGGTATCATACAGAGAGACAAAGTGGACAGAAATATACAAACACTTAATATCAATACCCCATACTGCTATGTGGTGATGGCACAAAAGTACTAATTTCACAACTTACCCAGGCCCCACATTAGCCACACTGGAAGCTCCATTCCCACCGCTGGCACCTCCACCACCACCTCCTCCTCCTCCGCTCCCTCCGTGAGTCTGCATTCGCAATCTCTTTTTTTGTTCCTCTAACTGCTCTAGTATCTTCCTATTTTTATGTTCTACAATTACAAATCCAAATGTACAATTCATAATTTATGCTTGGTAATTCAAAATTCAATCTAAAATATATTACCGATATGTCCAGGTCGCTTTATAGCTATGAAAAGCAGTAACTGGTTGTAATTTCTTTAAATAGCTACATACTAATTCTACATCCAGACATTATATGATTTCATGAATGTTTGACAATTCTTTTCATTGTCAATAAGTTACTGTAAATGACATTGAGATGATTCTTATAAAATTTACTGATTTGAACACTTTTTCACACTTGGTTTTCTGTGGAGCAATTAATTTAACAAATCCTGTTAGTCATCAATAATATAATTAACTAAGAAATGAATCAACATCATATTGACTTCTTACTTCAGGTGACAGAAACTTTTCTATAGTGAAGAAAATATTAATCAGGACTGAGTGTGAATGAGTTAATTAAGCACAAATATATGTCAATGTGTTTCTTATATACCAGATGTGATATATATCAGTGGTCAAATTGGCCTGTATTGCTCATCTGTTGTCACAGACATGAGAGTTTTTACCAGGTTGTTAGGATTTATTCTGAATTCTGCTGATTGGCATTGTATAATCTCTGTACATGTGTTGCCTTCGTACTAAAAAAGGTAAAAATTGGTTATAGGTGGAACTTGAAAATTGGTCAAAAATCAGAGATTGCAGTTTAAACCATTGTTTATTTGAAAATTGGACCATTCAAATTTATCATCAGAAATATCAAAATGATTGGTCTCTTTCTTCCATCCCGAACTTACATATATATAGGCATATAAATCTTGCTAAATATGACTGTGGTTTTTTTTTGTATATTTTAATTCTCAAACTAGAAATATGTCAGAATGACATGAAAGTCACCCTATCATTCTGTATGATAATTTTCCGATAAATCATTGACCAAGCTACAACAGATATATTTCCACCTGTCAATCAAAATGGTAAACAGTGACCATGTGTAAATACATACACGCTGTTCAGGTAGCCATGACAACACATGGAATTAATAAGAAAACATGTCGCAAATATAACGTTAGCATTGACCGACACCTCGAATACGGGGAGATCTGCGCGCTGACACGGTCACCTGGCATGGGCAGAACAGTTCATTGGAATATAACTATGTTGTTTTCACAACAATAAGTTTCAGAAAAGATTCAATCTTATGTACCAATAAATCTTCTACTTTTTTTGGTATGAAATACACTTTTCCAAGTAGTTTTCTGATCGTCTGCAAATCCAACTGAAACGGTTATCGATACGGGCAGAATGTGTACTCCGACGAGGACCGCCAACAGCCAAATTCGCGAGACATGAAGAACACCAAACAATTGTGATTTCAGCAATTCTCCTTCGAAAAGAAAAGATCGGAATGTGTTTAGCTGTTTTGAACCTGTTGATATTTAATTTTCAAACTCAAACTTTTATCATTATCGGATCAATTCCCATGGATGCATGTCAACCTTGTAAATTCCAGCCAGTTAACAGTATCACGCAACTTTGACTCTTTGCGGTACACAAACTTGCTATCTTCGCCACTTTACCCATGTCGTTTTGACACAGTCCTACCGTCAAGATTAAAGAGTTTAGTATGATTTTTCCCAAGAATGACATTTTAACCAGAGTGATAAATGCGATGCAATTCTTCGTTATGTTTCCCGATACGTGGTATTTATCAACTCACAACGTAACGTCTTGAAAAGTTGGACCTACTTTACTCGAGTTTATTTATACGATTCTATAGTATAGTATGACTTAAACTTGCAACATTTCGTAATTGTTAAATTGGCAATGCAATCAGGGATTATTCAATGAAATTTAGCAGTTTTATTGCTGCGAGCATATTTCAAAACATTTCTGAAAAATCCTCAAAAGTTTACGAGAAATGTTTGTGACCAAGGACTGGCTTTGGATTGTTCTTGAGTATCATGTACACCCCTTTCTTGACACTTCATTTTTCTCTTGAAAAAGTGTGCACTATACACAAATATTAACGTTAGTCGTTGGTCAGACATAAAATATCTAAATCAGTCAATAGCAATTTATAATACGACAGTTTACCCCTTCGGGAACTAAAAGGTGCCCGATTCATACTCGGAACATCTTTAGGTTATATCTAATTCCCGTTTTATGCTATTCCTGTTTAAAAAGGAAATTGATATCTGAGTTATCCAAGAGCTTGTAATTAGCGCCTGGTAGTCCAATACAACAGAGGTCAAAATCTGGGACTGAAACCGAAATTAATAGTCCCCACTGGGGTTCCCCAAGGGATGACTAAAAATATTCAATGAAAAATATTAAGCATAATGGTTATTTTTCCAGTTTTAAAGAAACCTTTAACTCTCTATAAAAACCACGAGGGGGGAAATATACAGGTAAGCATCAGAATAAACAAACAAGAGGCCCAATGGGCCTGCATCTCTCACCTGGTATTAATCTCACACTTGTAATCTTAAAAGTAGACTAAAATACAGCTACAAGCAAAATATAAGTGTATCATTTATAAGAACCTATTAAAAGATTAAAACATATGACACCTGTGACCTTGAATGTCGAACAAGGACATCATAATATTAGGTTGAACAGAGTTTATAGTCTGCCAACCCAGCATGCTTCTGGAAAAATATCATTACCCTCGACCTTTCGGTTATACAGAACAAATCATTTAAAGATTTAAACATATATTGACCACTGTGACCTTGAATATGGGAGAAGGGCATTCACTTGGTAGTCCTTCATCCCAGCATGTTACTGGCATCATCCTAGGTTATTCAGAAGAAGTTGTTTAAAGGTTAAGAACATATTTGACCCTGTGACCTTGAAAAAAGAGGAAGGTCATTCATTTGAACAAACTTTATAGCCCTTCATCTCAGCATGCTACTAGCCACATATCATCACCCTAGGCCTATTGGTTATTCAGAAGTTGCTTAAATGTTTAAAACATATTTGCCTTCTGTGACCTTGAATTTAATTCAAGGTAATTTATTTGAACAAACTTGGTGGCCCTTCATCCCAGCATATTACTGACCAAATATCATCACCATAGGCCTCTCGGTTATTCAGAAAAAGTTGTTTAAAGGTTTTAAACATATTTGACCCCTGTGACCTTGAAAGTGGGTCAAGGTCATTTATTTGCTAAAACTTGGTATCCCAGCATGTTACTGGCCAACTATCATCACCCTAGGCCTCTTGGTTATTCAGAAGAAATTGTTTAAATGGTTTTTTTTTACATATTTGACCCCTGTGACCTTGAATATAAGTCAAGGTCATTTATTTGAAAAATCCTGGCAGCCCTTCATCCCAGCATGTTACTGGCCAAATATTATCACCCTAGGCCCCTTGGTTTTTCAGAAGAAGTTGTTTAAATGTTTTTAACATATTTGACCCCTGTGACCTTGAAAATTCATGAAGGTCATTTATTTGAACAAACTTGGTAGCCCTTCATCTAAGCATGTTACTGGCCAAATATCATCATCCTAGGCCTCTTGGTTATTCAGAAGAAGTCGTTTAAAGATTTTAACATATTTGACCCCTGTGACCTTGAAAATTCATGAAGGTCATTTATTTGAACAAACTTGGGAGCTCTTCATCCAAGCATGCTTCTGGACAAATATCATCACCCTCGGCCTTTTGGTTACTGAGAAGAAGTTGTTGAAAGTAAAAAGTTGACGCCGGACGGACGCCTGACACCGCACCATGCCATAAGCTCAATTGGCCCTTCGGGCCAGGTGAGCTAAAAATACATAATAAAAGCATCTGTAGTGGAACTGGACTAGGTCAATCGTCAGTCACCATGGAGCTTACTACACTAGGTTATATAAATCAAAATGTCTGTCTACAATAGGGAGGTACCAGGAATTTAATCCAAGCTTTTGGTGTATTGGGTGGTGAGAAATTATTGATCAGTGTGTGTCGGTTTGCGGTACACTTATAGTTTGATGGTGCCAGGTTTTTTTTGCGGATGATGAGCGTGTCCAAGAATGGTATGGTTCTGTTCTTTTCCTCCTCGAGGGTAAATTTAATTGAATTTGTTTTGTCGACTTGGTTCAGCTGATCTGTTAGGCCCTCTACTGCTCCCTTTTTGACAATTTCTAGGATGTCATCAACATATTGTTTTCAAAGTTTGGGGCCGCATTCCATGGGTGCCAACGTAATGGTGATCTGCTCTAGGTGTTCCATGAACAGATTAACATTGCAACACTTTTAATATGAGTTGTTTGTGTAGAAAGTAAAACTTTGATATTAAATAATTCCAAACTGATGAATCTTATTGAAGATATGTAATGGAATGCAGTGTAATTGTGTCCATTGGCGGTAACCAGTTATGAGCTTTATTAGTTATATATAGAGAGCGTCTGTATAGAGGGTCTGGGGTTTGAATCTTGGTCTGGCTGTACATTTTCCCTCTCCTTAGGCACATCTTAGAACCCAGCTGATTTGACAGTGGACCCATACCATTCGTTAAAGTAGAAACCATATATATATGCTACTGCAAGGTTAACTTGTGCCTGGTAATTTAATATTTGTTTGCTAATGTAACAGGAGAGTAAAATTGAATGGCCAGACCGGGTTTTGAACCCGGGATCCTCCAAACTCTAGATGGAGGCTCTACCAATTGAGGGCCTATAGCTACCTGGTCGCTGACGATAGCCCCGAAGACACACGAGACTATACCACCTTCATTGGGTATATTTCGTTTGGTGCCAAATGTAACAGGAGAGGCAAAATGCACAGCTAAACTGGGGTTTCGAACCAAGGAATCTCCAAACTCAAGACAGACGCTCTACCAATTGAGCTACCTGGTCGCCAACGATCGACCCGGTCTAGATCCGCTAAGCTATAAATCCATTTTTAATGCATTAAAAAAGACTCTAATGCATTACAACAAGAAATACACGTCAATAGAATGCTTTAACATGACAAACTCAAAGGGAAACAATCTTAAATCCAGTGACTGATATGACAATGAAAGTTACAGTGGAAGGGAGATAACAATGTATTGCACTTGTAATTTATACATAACTAGTCTATTTCCCTGAAGGATAACATCAAACAGTATACATAAAACAACATGATATGTGATGAAAATACTGTCCCATGTTCATAATAGTCATATTGACCTTAATTTATCGTCGGCACAAGTGAGCAATATAAATTAATTTGAGGTGGATATTTCCTCCACCCCATGCTGAGCATGATGCTCCCACCACTAAAAAAGAAGCCGTCAATAAAACGAGTCGGCCTCAAAGGGCATAATCAACATGTATTTTAGCAAACATACGTATATTCTAATTAACATTACCTTGACCAGTCCCGGGCGGTTGAAAAGCCATTTCTACGGGCCGTTTTCTATTTCAAGGGTCCAACGCTACTTTTTTCGTCTGCAACTTGCCCCTTGCAGCATTGAAAACAACGCCTCCCGAATGTTGAATCTAACGCGGTTTCTGATTAGTTAGAATGAAATATTTGACCAATAAAATCGAAGTATACATAAACAGCTGATTATCATTGACATCAGGGATCCGATGCTGAAAATGGCCAGCTCGGAAGACATCTTCTCCGGCAAAGAAGACGATAACACATCTTCTGATGCATCAAACGAACAACATAAATTTAAAGATCCACTAATTAGCGGTCTCGACCCAAGTGACGACGGAGAGGTAAATAAGTACCCGCATATATCGCCTGGAATGCGTCATCCCCACCTTTGCTATTCTCAGCAAAACACAGATATCGATTGATTTCTGATTTTATCATTTAACGTTTATTGAGGCCTACCCTATTTTACGTCTATTGAACTGTATCTAATTGAAATGACCTAACTTAAGTTCAATTAAGTCTGCAAATAGGTCATTTTTAAATAGTTAATTTGTCATACATCAGTACATGTACAGAACGCTTCTAAATTTCGGATCGTGACATGCTAGACTCTATATTAATTGTTTATTAGCTGTGAATCGTCAGCACTTGGTTGATCCCATATTATCAAGCCCAAGTACTTCCATTCTGGTGTCAAAAGACGGATCTACTAATACTAACTGCAACATGAAAGGGGGTGGGGGATGCATGCAACTGTCAGACAAGGATTCGAACCAATGACCCTAGAACTCTAGACAGAGGTTCTTATCAGTTGAGCTACTTAGCACCAATCAGTGGTCTCCCTAGCCAAGTTCATGATCAGTAATGAACTGATTGTAAAAATTAAAAAAAAAAAAAATTGTTACAAATTTTCAGGGGGGGTTTCATGTGGGGAAATTGGGGAAAATACATGATTTTTAAAAGAAAATTCTCAGACTGGGGGGGGGGGGGGGGGGGG